CAAAGTGCTCCTTACGATTTAGGGCGAGCGCAGTTTTCATGTAAGACTCGCCCGCCCCCTACAAAAGTCGCAACAGCAGCACATGTTCGACACCACACGGCGCTTTTAGAGGTACAGTATGCCTAGCGCGACCATGCAACGTATAACAGTTGGCCACAGCTCACACTTCGACCTGGTCAATCAAGTCGCCATACATCCAGGGTTCATGAGAAAGGTTGCTGCTGATATTTATCATACAAACTCTTCAAATTCGATCCACAATTTCGTCGAATCGTGCTGCTTATGTAAACGCAAGTCGTACGTGAAGGCTGCGGTGAGAGACTTCAATGGCGATACAAATTCTGATTCATGAGAGCTTTGATGCTCATGAAGTTTCAACGACTTCTATTGGCAATCACACATAGGCACACGATAGACGACAGACACATAACATCGTCACAATATAAAAACTACTACACATGATTGAAAAAAAGAGATCAGTGAGAAATCGAGGTAGACCTCCAGAAGATTGATGAAAATACACGATTCAGAATTTGGTTGTACTAGAGTTGTTTTTACCGAGGAGAACAAAGACTCGGCCAACGCCGCCATTGACTGTTACGAATAGCTTGTCAGAGTCATTCCCTCGTACTAGATCGGTGATCTCAACAGCGAACGCCGGCACACCGGGATAGCTGGCTCGCAGTGCTCTCATTCTGTGCAGTAATGGCTGCAGCTTTGTTACCACTTCACCCACTTCAGACCTATCAACAGCGCGCCATATAAACTCCACTTGACGCGCTAGAGATACCCATAACTTCACACGCCCTTTCACTTTGCGGACCAACACTTCCCGATCTACTGACAAGAACGTCATCATCTTCGGAGGCAACGGCATCTGGTCGCCTGGGCTCTGGGCGTTTCCAGATCTCCCGCTCCCCTTCGTGTTGTTCAGTCCGGGCCTTTGTCCTCTAGCAGAAAGGCTGCTTAATCGCTGCTCTAGAGCTCTACCGGGGACTATAGTGGTATTGCTACTGCTACTACCACCCGCAGGGTACACTGGTGGAGGGGTCTCGTCGAGGCCGTACGCGGCCGACAGGGCGAGATCGAGCATAGAATGATCAGGGAAACCAGCCGCACGGTGATCACAAGCCATGCTCGGAGGGCATTGCATTGCAGTGCACATACCCAGCCCTCCGTTGACCGACATAAAGATTTTCCCACCGACAGGACTCACATTGAGAATATCAGATACTTCGACGGCGATGTTGCCAGTCTCCCTTCCTCTCGCGACCTGCACACTTGATAGTTCAGTTCGCAATTGGCGACTCTGAGAGCCTCTCAAGAAGG